GGCAAAAGCTTGGGAACCTGTCCGTTCGGTCGCGAGTGCCCCACGTGCTCCGCATGCTTGGTTGCAATAGCTTGCATGCTTATCTACTGCAGGTATTTTCTGTTTTCATGGATCCATGCAGATGTCGTTCTAACCTGTCCCGAGGTATGTACATGTAATGTGCTCCTTAATGCTACACGGAAATTCTGCAGACATTACATGACGTGTGAATTCCCAAAACCCATGCACAATACCCAGCACACATATATGCATGCTAGCTATGCATACCCTAAACCCTAAACCCAGACCCCTAAACCCTAGCTAATTTATCCCCGGCCTTAATTTACATAAATTAGCGCTGCTGATTTGTTGCGACATTTTGTCGCATCGTGTCTTGCAAGCCCACTGCAGATGCTCGGCTGCATTGTGACATTCAGCTATTATTGCTGTCTAGGAATCGGCAGTGTGACGTATATAGATGCCACGCTTAGGAATGCCACGCAAAAAGGATGGTGTTGACAGTGTGGTGGAGAGTCTCGGTGAGAATCTGTTGCGATTGCTGCAGTCATGCCGTGTATGAGGGGGGATTTGGGCCGAGGAAGCTGAAAGGATGCATGAAAAAGCACCTGAAGGTGGAGGAAGTGAAGAAGAACGGCGAGCGCGTCGCCGGTGGGCCTCGTGCACAGCGTTAGATGTTATTCTGTTTGCTGTAGTGCCAGGAGGTGACATCCGACGCAAAAGAAACAGCTGGTTTCGGGCAGCCTTTGAGGATGCGTGCCTCATCCGTATTGGCAGTGTAGACACACTCTCTCTCTCTGTCTCTCCCCCCCTCTCTGGCTATGCATGCTCTCTCTCTTTCTCTCTCTATCTCTCTCTCTCTCTCTCTCGCTCTCTCTCTCTCTGTATCTCTCTCTCTCTCTCTCTAGCTATAGTTTCATCTCGATTCCAGCTTAGGTCCCTGAAGCGCAGACCTTCGCGAAAGAGCATCCTATCGGTGGTGCAGCAGATCAATCAGGATCTGAAGATATGTGCCACCGCTGCAGTGAAGACATGCATTATCCCACATGTGCTGCTTTCTGGTACAATGCTTGCATGTACTATGTTTCTATGTGTACACATCGCATGCTCAGGCCCCTATGGGCTGGATACTGAAGCATGGGCTTCGGTGCAGGCCTACAGAATCGTGTGCATTAGACGGCTTTGACATATGGATCTAGCCAGGCGGACAAGCTGAATGCGATGATGGAAAGGTTGGTTAGAAGCTGTCAAAGTAAGAACCGCGCAAAGACTGGGTCAGCAGCGGCGCCAGAAGCATCCGTGGCCGTGAATCCCGACAACCTGGAGACGCAGGTGATTGGGGAGCCGGACATAGAGGATTTGCTCAAAGAGCTTTGCGAGGAGAACGGTCTGGATTACAACGAGGAAGGAGTAGAGGCCGGCATGTATATATGGATTATGTAAAATGACTATGTAAAGGGCAGGAATTCCGGGTGTCGGTATCATGTACACTTCCTATACAAACTGACACTAGTGGGCAATGTCCTATCATGTAGGGTTTATGTAGGATCTGACACTTTGGGTTTTCGGGGTTTGCCCTAGTATTCTGTAAGAATCTATTGCCCTAGCACACAATCCCCCCAGGATGATGAGAATCCGCGGCTTCTGCGTTCACAGCATCTGCCGGACGGCACACAGGTGGATGACCGGCCCGAGGATTGTTCTCTCTCTCTCTCGCTCGCTCTCTATCTCTCTCTCTACAGCTCCAGTTCCGGATCATGTTTTGTTTGTACGTGTCAGGATGAAGCCTCCGAAGTGGGGGACCAAGCAGACAAAGAAGAAGAGCAGGATTCATGGTACCGTTGTATATATATATGTACGAATACCATATTTATATATATATATATATAGAAGAGTGTATATCATGTGCATGCACCTGCGAAGGACATGGATGAAGAAGCCGATGTGGCCGAAGAGTCACAGGAAGGGCAGGCCGGGCTACACAATATACATATATATATATATATATATAGAAACCGTCAATTTAGCATGTGCATGACAAGGACATGGATGAAGAAGTCGATACGGCCGAAGAGTCTCAGGAACAGCAGGCCGGGCTATAGACAATAATTTAGAATCAGTCAACATCTGCATGCATGACAAGGACATTGGTGAAGAAAGTGATCCCTCGCAAGAGTCTCAGGAACACCAGGCCGGGACATAGAAGATAACTTCGAATCAATCAACATGTGCGGGCATTTCGGGGTATGTTAGAGGGTAGTTGGGGGGGGGGGGTAGGAAACCTCAAGCTCTATATAAGTCTATCATGCTGTTCAGCTTTCGGGGCTCTGTATCGGTATTCGGGTTTCTGGGCTTGGGATTCATGGCTATTTAGGAGGGCTTATTCTGAAGTATGGTTATACCTATATATATACATATACATTAACTATAGCAATACTATAGGTTTTTTTTCTGGCTATTCCCAAAATATCGAAGTATGGTTATACCTATATTAACTACCAATACTATATGGGCCCTTTCCTGGACTAGAACTACAGTATATGGGCCCCAAGCCGTATTCTACTTATTAATGTGCATGCCACAAGGACATGGACGAAGAAGCCCATTCCACCGAAGAGACTGAGGAACAGCAGGCCAGGCTCTAGACAAGATTTTAGAATCAGTCAACATGGCCTGTGCATGCATGACAAGGACATTGGTGAAGAAGGTGATGCCGCCGAAGAGTCTCAGGAACACCAGGCCGGGCTATAGAAGATAAGTTAGAACCAAACTGCATGTGCATGCATGTGTGAAGGACATGGACTCAGAAGTCGAGGCAGGTGAAGAGTCTGAGGAACAGCAGGCCGGGCCATATATAGTTTTAAATTTCGAACCGATGATGCATGCGACAAGGACATGGGCGAAGAAGCCGAGGCCGTCGAAGAGTCTCAGGAACAGCAGGACGGGCCATAGTTCATCAATTCTTTTCCATATCATGATGCTTGTGCGAAGGACATGGATGAAGAAGCCGACGAGCAGGATCAAGAATCTGAGGACTGTTATCATGCATTACAGCAGACAGATGAAACGAGCTTATCGTCCGAGGCCGTCGAAGAGTCTCAGGAACAGCAGGACGGGCCATAGTTCATCATTTCTTTTCCATATCATGATGCTTGTGCGAAGGACATGGATGAAGAAGCCGACGAGCGGGATCAAGAATCTGAGGACTGTTATCATGCATTACAGCAGACAGATGAAACGAGCTTATCGTGTGCAAATGGCCAGGACGATTGCGAGCAGGACAACCATTCGGGGGAAGAGCAGAACCAGGATTATGATGCAATTTCAACGCATTACTGCAGAGTATCCTCCCACATATGTTATATATATATATATATATATATATATATGCATTGTGCACTAGGAGATGCCCCATCAAGAATGTGATGAAGAGCAGCCCGAGGATCCGACATGTGTCGTGCTCACGATCGATGTTTATTTATGGGGGGTGGAGTGCTGACATGATCAGGACGATGCCGAGATCCAAGACGATCAGCAGAGTCAGGACTGTCGGTGCGTAGCTCGGCGATTGTGTCTAGATCTTTCAAATTGTGCCAGGACATACCACAAGAAGAAGCCGGCGACCAGTCAGAGCAAGAATCCGATCAGGCTTCATGTGCAGAGCCGATGTATATTCGTGCTATGAAGGTGGTGTCTTTGCAATGTGCAATGCGTGGCAGGACCAAGCTGATGTGGGCCAATCAAAGTCCGAGGAAGAGCAGCTCGAGGATACATGTGTCCTGCTTTGTTAAACAAGCATGAATTTCACAGTTTCGGTCACGATCGGGATTTTTCTTCGGGTGTGGACTGCCCTGAGTTGATCAGGACGATGGTGAGATCGAAGACTCCGACGAGCAAGAGCAGAGTCAGGATTGAACTCATGTAAAGCTCGACAGCTGTGTCTAGAATGTGCAACTCGTGGCAGGAGATGCCCTGCGAAAATGCAGAGGAAGAGCAGCTTGAGGATATGTGCATCCCGCTTTAGAACACATGCATGCATGCAAGCAAACAAGAATTTAATGTATAATTCAGACACATTCGGTCAGGACGATTCCGAGATCGATGCCGGTGTTCCCGGCGACCACTCAGAGGAAGAGGCGATTCAGGACGCTACTTGTGCAGTACTTAGATCCTTACATGCATGCATGTGCGTTTTAACTGTACTATGCAATGTGCAATGTGAGACAGGACCGAGCTGACGTGACCCAGGAAAACTCCGAGGAAGAGCAGCTCCAGGATATGTGTTTCCTGATAAGTGTATGGCATTTACATCATGTATGAAATCAGGACGATTCTGAGATGGAGTCTGGTGCGCCCGACGACCACTCAGAGGAAGAGCGGAGTCAGGATTGTCTTTTGTGCAGTGCGGAGAGTATATATATATATATATATATATATATATATATATATATTATTGTTAATGTGCAATGATCGAGTGGCAGGACCAAGCTGATGTGGACCATGACAAGTCAGAGGAAGAACAGCTGCAGGACACGTGTGTCTAGCTCTAAAAGACGATGTTCAATACTCCTTAATAGAATAGGCCATGCATGTGATATTATATATATATATATATATACGTGTTGTCAGGAAGATGATGATATCCCGGCCACACAGCCCGACAGCCAGCTGTGTCAGGATTGGGGTTTTGCTCTACCGGACATCTCCAGATATGCTATAATGCTCGTATTGAAAATCAGCCAGGCACCATCGGATGCCGAAGACAACGAGGAGAAGCCAGACGATCAGGACCGCGATGGTGTACCATGTATGCACATGTGCATGTCCTAGCCTATACCGCCATAGAATACTTAAGATTACTGTATCGTGATACTGAGCTAGGAGCGTGATGCTGGGGCACATCCGCTTCAAGGCGATATCGATGAGACTGGCAATGCCGCCGAGGAGTGTGTAATGTGTATAGAGCCATGATCATGTAACCTTGTTCGGTCGCGATCTGTCAGGAACCAATACAAGGGGAGAAGCGGAAGCGCTCGCTGAAACGCAATGCGAGCACGGAAGTGCTCTTTGAACAAAACAAAGGGCGTGCACTCACAGCCCAGCTCAACCAGCTCGACCTTGCACCGATCCACCAAGCAGCACTAGACGCCGCCGGGGCAGTGCCGCCCATCAGCCCTGCCGAACAACTTGCACTCCTGAGGGCCGAAGTGGCCTCAAAAAAGAAAAGAATGCCACAGGAAGCAGCAGAAACGGTGGAACTCGGAGATGGCTGGTACAAGGAGAAGAGGCGCCATTCATTAGCAGCTAACATGCATGCCTGCGCCTTGATCGATTGCATGTGTTGCATTGTGTTGCAGGGTAAGAACGAAGGGCAAGCAGCAGGGCAAGGTTTATGTCTTTTACACCAACCGGGACGGACGAACGGCTGACTCACGAAAGAAGCTGGAGGCTCAAGGAGGCCACGATCCAGAACCAGATGGGCGAACCACCCGCCACCAAGCAGCAGCAGCAGAGGAGGAGGCCGAAGGAGACGCTAAGAAAACGAAGGCCAAAGGAAAAGCGAAGGCGAAAGGAAAAGCGAAGGCCAAAGGAAAAGCAAAGGCGAAAGGAAAAGCGAAGGCCAAAGGAAAAGCAAGCAAAGTTGAAGCCGTCGTGAAGGCAGTGTCTGAGGCTCGTCATATGACAATATATACATAGCATATGCTGATCGAGTGCACAATGTATATATATATATATTGCATGTATACATGAAGTGTAACTGTGCCCATTGTCAGGACGAAGAATCTGAGGAGGGAGCTCTCCAGAAGATGGATGAAGGATACGAGAGCGAAGCGCTTGAGAGTGAAGAGTGCTAGACACGAAGGCCAGGGACAACATGTAGACTTGATGTGTGATGGCATGTACCATGCATATGTTAAGACTAGACGCTTGTATTCGTATGGAGGATCAAGGCTGCGATGCTTGGAGATGCAAAGGATGCGAAGCGAAGCGCTTCAGAGTGAAGAGTGCAAGACACGAAGGCCTGGCATAACATCTAGATGTCATGTGTGCATGCATGCTTCTACCATGCATGTGTTAAGAATAGATCCTTCTACCTCGATCCATGGAGGAGCAAATTAAGCAAATTCGCTACTTGGAGATGCAAAGGATGCGAGTTCTTCAGCTCGCTGTTGCCTGCTTCTCTCAAAAGGACGGCTCGCTGCACAGGATCTGTCTGCAATGGGTGTGCAATCACATGACAGCATGTGACGCCCCCGGTGCTTGCATGCTGGCAATTTCAAGTATAAGTATATATAGGTTAAATATAATTAATGTATAAGCCCGCACGACCCTTATAATACTTCATCATATATTCGCCTGGAACAATATATGCCCTGAATGCTATGATGAACCCGGTCCCATCCTATCTTCCTCAAGAATACCTGTGGAGCTATGAAGCTCTCCATGGTCTTGCCGATCCTGCAGTTTATAGCGCAGCTGGAAAAGCCGGCCCCGATGGAGCAGAATGATTTTGTTTTCCAGCTGCACAGATGCATGGTCATCGATACTCTACTAAGCTATTGCTCTCAGCCCGAAACCCTAGAACGTAAACCTAGAGCCCTCCACCCTAAACCTTTTACCTTTGATCACTCAATCCTAAACTCTCGATCTGTTGGGCTGTGATCTGAGGTCGAGTTCTGTGCTGGTGCCGGCGAACTGACGGCTGCATTGGTTGATGCCTTCGACTTCCAGGGGAAGAGATTCGATCTGAATTATTCCAAGAACCACGACTTCTTGCGGACTGTGGGATTTTTGGCTGTGTTGGCTGCGGTGTCTTGGCTTTGCTGATCCCCACTGCCGGGCTGTCCCTAGCTAGCGCTACAACCGACGAAGTGCATATGCTGTTCCCAGGTCAGAAACACTGTTTATGGTGGTCTTCTTATGTGCGCTCCACCATGTTCGAGCTGGATATCTATGTGACTGGTCCGAATTCATAAATGCATGTCTGAGGTACTTAAGAAATGCCTCCGCGCACCACCTTCCATCCAGGAGTCGCTCGACGACGAAGAGGAGCGGTCGCAATCCTCAGGGTGAGACGAAGTACAAGAAAGTTCGGCGGGCCAATGCGTTTGTGGAGCGTTTGTGTTACGTTCTGAGGATAGCACATAAACTAGGAATATTTTGGGTGGTGGAACAGCCTTCGAGTTCCGTGTCTCGGACATCATATTCGATCGGCTCGATCTTTGCCTCTCTCTCCATCACTCTCTCTCTCTCTCTCTGTCTCTCTCTGTGTCGTATCTAGCGATCGATCTCTCTAGACATCTAAGGTAATGTGGAAGCTGCCATGCATGCGGCTCACGCTGAGAAAGTGCAATGCGATGCGGGTCTCCTTCCATATGGGTGCCTATGGGGCTCTCTCACCGAAGCCCACTGTGTGGCTTGGATACGCATGTTGACTTTTGTCTGCATATACATGCATGTACACCTATAATATCTATATATATATATAGATAGATAGATATATATATATATATATATATATCTAGTATATATATATATAATATACATATATATATATATATGAGCCCGATACCTTTAGGGTCTATTTAACTAGTCTGCCATATATACAATATAAGATCCCTATCTAAATCATATGTTCCTACATATTATATTACAAGACTTACGCTCTGAAAAGTTTAGCATTACTTAGGTCTATAATATTTTTATCATTATTGCTGACACCATTGCCACATTGATACCTGATTAATATACAGTGTCACCTATACAGACAACTGAATCTTAATAATTAATACCTATAACAATATCATTACGAATCCAATGGAACACAAAGCAATAACACTCCAACCAAAATAATTATAGTAAGTATTGCTTACATCCCTGTCGCTGCGAATCCTACCTAGTGCAAGTTAGCATCACTACAATCATATATTAGGCATTGCATATATAGTGTCAGTACTAATGCAGTCGAATAGAAATTACAAACAGTGTAACCAAAATCTTTCTTTTTAGTATTGTCTACGCCACTGCGACTATGAATCCTATTCAGCGTAAGTTACCTCCTCTACGTGCAAACTACTTATAATACTTCTTATCTAGGTCCGTGTCATTAGGATGCATATCAAACAGAAAGCAACACCAATACAACCAAAATAATTATAATAAGTATTGCTTACATCTCTGTCCCTGCGAATCCTACCTAGTGTAAGTTAGCATCACTATAATTATCTATTAGGTATTGCATATACTGTGTCAGTATTAGTGTAGCCGAACAGAAATTACAAAAAAAAAAAAAAAAAATAATTCTACTAAGTATTGTCGACGCCCCTGCAACTAGGAATCCTACATCTCGAGGGAGAGAACTGTGAACTGCCACTAACCATCCAGGCTCCACAAAAAGACAAACACCAACTCGAACAAAAGATTGGCCTAAGCAATCGTGACATTACTAATTGTCGTACCTGCGGTACATCAATCCTGTAATCATTGCTGCCATATTGCAGTTGTCTTTCCTTTGCCTCAGCCTCTGTAAGCCCCTCGCGTCTGCGCTGGCACAGGATACGCAGCGTCTCACTCTTATGCGGGACAGCAGCCGCAAGCAAATTTGCGCCTCCCGTGCCCGTTTCGAGCAGCTTGTAATGCTGCCCGTGCTATCCGAATCGCAGTTGATAACTCATGGCAGCCGAATAACACCAATACAACCAAATTAATTATAGTAAGTATTGCTTACATCTCTGTCCCTGCGAATCCTACCTAGTGTAAGTTAGCATCACTACAATCATAGATTAGGTATTGCATATATAGTGTCAGTACTAATGCAGTCGAACAGATAATTGCAAACGATTTAAAAAAAATAATTATAGTAAGTATTGTCTACGCCCCTGCAACTAGGAATCCTACGTCCCGAGGGAGAGTACTGTGAACTGCCTATAACCATTCAGGCCCCACAAAAAGACATACGCCAACTCAAACAGAAAGATTAGCCGAAGCAATCGTGACAGTACCAATTGTTCTACCTGCGGTACAGCAATCCTGTAATCATTGCTGCCATATTGCCGTCGTATTTCCGTTGCCTCAGCCTCTTGGCGGGTGCTGGGTAGTGGTGGGTGGTGGGTGGTGGGTGATGGGTGGTGTGGTGGGTGGTGTGTGGTGGGTGGTGTGTGGTGGTTGGTGGGGAGGGTGTGGGTGGTGGGCGTGGCGGGTGAGGGGTGCCGGGTGGTGGATAATAGGTGGTGGGTGGTGGGTGGTGATGGGGTACGAGGCAAGGGGCTGAGATTGGGGGGTGGGTAGTGAGGTATGAAGGGGGCGGGAGGGTGGAGTGGGGGCAAGGGTGTATAATCCCTGCGAGCCGCGACCGAGCAGAAAGCCTGTAAATGCCGCGTTCAAAAAACGGCCAGGGATCCCACACATCTGCGGGCAAAATCTGGCGGAAGTGATCCGCCACCAAGCAAAAAGCTTGTAAATACCGCATTAAACAAAGGGCCAGGGATTTCACATATCTGTTGGCAAAATCTGACAGAAGTACCGATTGCTCACTTCCGCCAGATTTTGCCACCAGATATGTGAAATCCCTGGCCCTTTGTTTAATGCGGTATTTACAGGCTTTTTGCTCGGTGGCGGATCACTTCCGCCAGATTTTGCCCGCAGATGTGTGGGATCCCTAGCCCTTGAAGTGGTGGGTGAGACACGGCGGTTTGGAGCCTGCTGTCTCTTCCCATTTCCAACACCGATCCTGACGTCGAGGCTGTTCTGTCGAATGACATGTTCGCTAACTCTTTGGTAGGGTGGAGGTGGATTCAGGGGTTGAGGGGCGGTGGGTTTAGGGGGGGGGGCTGGATTCTAAGGCGCGGTTCGATAGCACCAAATTTTCTGAAAGGAGCCCCTTCCGAAAATTTGGTGCTATCGAACCGCGCCTTTTGTAAAACACAGCGGTTCGATAGCACCAAATTTTCGGAAGCGGCTCCTTTCAGAAATTTTGGTGCTATCGAACCGCGCCTTGTAAAACACAGCGGTTCGATAGCACCAAATTTTCGGAAGCGGTTCCTTTCAGACAATTTGGTGCTATCGAACCGCGCCTTGGAAAACACAGCGGTTCGATAGCACCAAATTTTCGGAAGCGGCTCCTTTCAAAAAATTTGGTGCTATCGAACCGCGCCTTGGAAAACACAGCGGTTCGATAGCATCAAATTTTCGTGGTGGGTGGGGTGGGGGCGTGGTTGGGTGGTGGCACGGGGCAGGGGGCAGAGGGCAAGGGACAACGGGGCTGGGGAGAGAAGGTGTGAGGAGATGGAGGGGGTGATGGGAGGGGAAGGGGTCCGGGGGGTAGGGGGCTGGATTAGGGGTCGGGTGGTGGGGGGAGGGGCGGGGGCAGCAAGGGGGAGGGGAGGCAGGGGGTGAAACCATAAACCTCTAAAGGGGTAGCTCTAACAGGTACCTACAGCAATGGCTGCATGCTCATACATATACATTCCGCTGCCCATTGGCTCACAGTGGTTTTACCATATTGAGACAAGACAAGCTCTCCTTGCGTAGCAAGACAAAACAACTACTGTCCGTGTGCAGGGCGCTGCCATTTGATCCTTAGGGAATAACTGGTCATACACCTCCTCACAAGGAGTATCCCTTGGGGGTGTATCGGCACAGTTTTCTGGTAGCGGAGCCCGGAAAGGGCCGCCCGCCTCCTAAAGTCCGCTACAGCGGTCGGCCTCGCCGAACGCTTAACCAAGCGGATAAGAGGCAGCACAATGTCGAGCTCGAATAGCGAAGCCGACGGCAGTTCCCAATCCTCCGGGGGATATGAGAACGAAGAGACCTCCCAAGGTCCAGCTACTTATGTCGCACAGTCATATGCAACATC